TTGTCCTGTCCCCACTGTGGCCAGGCGTGCATCTTCTATTTCGGTCCTGTCTCATGCCCACTCCCTCAGAGCCCTGCCATGGAGTGTGAGCACTGGCCGCACGGACCTCCGGCTCCAAACATCCAGCTTGTAGATGAAAAAACTGAGGGCCCTGGAGGACCAGCAATAGAGCTTTGTGGAGCTTGAAGGTGCGCCTCCTCCCTGCAGTCTACAGCAGGTTCTGCCACCACTGGGGGCCTCACTCTGACTAATTTCCTGTAGGCTCTGCCTGCTCAGAAGTGAAGGTGCTACCCTTGAGGAGGAGCAAGGGGTGTGGGATTTGGAAGAAAAGGAGATGGGGTGGGTAGCTTCCTGGCCCTCAACCCTACTGTGCTCACCTGTTGGGAAGGAACAGAGGTAGCTTTGGCCATGGTGACCTGAGGAGGTAGCAGTCCCTTCTATAGGGTTGTGATAATATATAAACTATAACCACAACAGTAACAGTTGCCAATACCATTTATCAAGTGCATACTCATACCAGACACTTTTTTCTCCTGATCCCTTTCAATCCTAGGAAGTAGATATTATTATCATTATCATTATCACTATCATCATCATCATTATTATTATTATTCATTAGATACAGGGCCTTGCTACGCAGTTTAGGCTGGCCTTGAACTCACTATGTTGCCCAGGTTGGCCTCAAACTGAAGGAGATCCTCCTGCCTCAGCTTCCCAAGTCACCACACTCAGCAAGAGAGGTAGATATTGTTATTCCCATCATATAAAATGATTCAAGAAAGTCTGAGAGATTAAGAAACTTGTGGTGGGGGAATGATGGGGTGGGTGAGGAGTAGGTTGAGATAATACTAGGCACTCTGTGATCCTGTATCACCTTGCAGGGAAGGCTTATGGGTGGTGGGGTCAAAGGAGAGGGGCTGGCTTATGGGAGAGAAAAGAAATTCCGAGTGCTTCAGGGGTAACCCTACCTGGGTTTCCCCCTCTTCTCTCTGGGAGTGGTAGGTGTCCGAGGCACTGGTGCTCAGAGATGACATGAGGAGAGTAGGCTGACTACAGGAACTCCAATGTGGGCACCCAAAGGTCTGGGTCCTAGTCAGCCTGTACCTTCAACTTACTGTGTTTCCTAGAACAAGTTATTTACCTGAGTGGGTCATCATTAAAAGCTTCTCTTACTATCTCATTTTATTATTGATTTTCACTCTTTAGTTGTAGGATTCTGTATCTTGGGAGTGGGTAGGTCACTTCTGGACTTCCTCCTTGAAAAGATGTGAACAGTACAGATGCCCTCCCGAGATACCTGCTTGAATGCAGTCTCAGGGCTGAGGACCAAGAGAGGCCAAGGGAGGAGCAGGACAGATTTCTTGCTCGGCTCCACCTACTCACTTGTCCCTGGTTGCCTGAGAGCCACAAGCATTTGGGACTGCAGTGGGAAAGTGGGCACCTGGGAGCCTGCGGCAGCCTCCAGGAGGGCCCAGTGCTGGCACAGGTAGGCCGTGCTGCCTCCAGGGGCCGGCTGGCGGTGGGGCATGGAGCCAGAGCCCTCTGTTTCTGGAGTGCTCTGCGAGGGCTCCTCAGTGCTTGGGGACGTGAAGGTCTGGGCTGAGCTCTTGAAGTGGAGAAAGAACAGGTGGCATCTGCAGGGCACAGGAGCGCAGGGCCCTCTGATTGTGGCAGGAACCTGGCTTTGAGTCTGAGGCTGTGGATGAGTCAGGGCCTTAGGTTCCTCCAATGACAAATGGGGGTAACAATGCTCATCTGGAAGGGCTGCTGGAACTAAGGAGGGATACAAATGAAGTGTCCGAAGAGTACCTGCCAAAGCATCAGGAGGACATGGTGGCTGTAATCATGTTGTGCTGCTGCCACTTTTAATAATAACAGAGGCTGGGGACATGGCTCAGTGGTAGAGTACCTGCCTAGCATGCTAGAGGTCCTGGGTTTCATCCCCAGCACAACAAATAAAAAACCCCAAACAAACCTGAAAAAGAGACATTCTGAACAAGTGGAATGGTGGGGGGCTTGGGAGTGAGAATTTGCCACCCTGCCCCCACTGCTTGACTCTTCTCACCCCCTGGTGCCTTATCTGTGAGAGGAGGTGGTACCAGCTGATCCCCAGGCCCCTTCCTGCTCTGACAGCCCCTGGCTATGAATAGACCGGGCTGGGGCCTGGAGGAGTTTGATGACTCAACAGCTAGGGAGGGCAAGGTTTCCCAAGGAAAGAGTTTCCATTCGTGTTTGGTGAACTTGGGGGGACAGTGAAGCAAGGGTTTCCTGGTTGGGAGGCTAGGAATGGGGGAGCGGGAGGAATCCGTGCAGGCAGTCAGTGGAGACTGTGACTAACCAGGTGAATGACTAAGTCTGACCCTGCCAACTTCCACCAATCAGAGCTGTCCGAGAGTGCCCCACAAGCTGGCATCACTAAGCAAGTCAAGGCTCTGCCAGGCCCGGCTGGGTCTGGGCTTCACAGCATATGGAGGCAAAAGAAGCAGCCAAGAGACCAGCAGGAAAAGAGCATTGGGCTTGGAGTCGGAAGACCCAGCTTCCCACTTCGACTCCACTGCTCACTGGCTGGGTGCTCCGGGGAGGGGGTGTCCTCTTTCCATCACCCACCCCCCCACCTGTACAATGGAGCTAGCAGTGCCTGCCCTGGCACCTTGAGAGTTGTGAAGCCTGAGAGTCAACCAGGAGGTGAAAGCACTGTGATCACTAAGGTACCAGGCGAATAGGAGGTTCTTTCATTATTTCATCCTAGTGGGACTCCCCACTAGAGGTTCCAAGGGGGGACAGGCCTGATGACCCTCAATTCTAGGTCAGGATCAATCTAACACACATCCCTTCCAGCCATCTCATCACTGCCCGGGTAAGGTTTTCTTAGATCACAGCCCCTGTGACAACCCTCTAGCTGTAGGTGAGAAACAGTGAGGGATGCTTGGGGGGGGGGTGGTGGTGCAGAGACTGGGAAGAGCAAGTCTGAGGACCCCACACCCAGACAGTGGCTTGAGATCATCCTTCTTGCCCAGCACTGTATAAAGAATTGTCAGATGCATTCTCTGCTTCTAGCCTGAGCTTTTAGCATCTCCCTAGGCCAGGACACAAGCACTTTGGGAAACAACAGCAGGGGTAGTGAGTAGGGCAATACCTTTTGGTTTCTACACACCTTAAACTCATCAATAGCTTTCTCTGAGGGCTCAAAGCCGCTGAGTACCACGCTGGCAGTGGGAGCTCAGTAACACGACCTACAGGACTCTGCGCACATGGAGATTAATTATAGTGTGGCTAAAGACACAAAGCACATTCCCTAACATGTACATAGCATTTAAAGGAGCCTGCAATGGTCACCCAGGTGTTGACAGTAAACCCTGCAGTGATCCCAGAGCAGTGGCCTGGGAGACTTGGAGGAAGAGGCAGGATCTGACTGCACCTAGAAGGTTAGTATGGACAGATAAACAGAAGGCTGAGAAAAAGGTGTGTCGGACACACATATTGAAGGTGTTCTCAGGGGACAGATGGGCTGCAGTAGAGAGGGATGATGCACGTAAGTTCTAGGGATGCTTTCTGATTCTCCAAATAGCTGACCACCTCCTGAGATCAGGTAGGTGGCAATGGGGTGTTCTGGAGAGGGCCAGGACCCCAGAGCTGGGCCAGTCGCTCCTTTCAGGCCCCACTTAGGGCAAGCTTCAGGTCTCCAGGGAAGCAGAACCTCAGAACACAGTTCTGCAGCAGATAGACAGCATCCAGTTCTGCCTTTTACCCCCTTGTCTCCTGTCAACTCCCAGGAAAACACTGCCATTTTGTCATGAGCTAAGCCAAATGGCAATGAACCCTTGGGAGCCTAGCCAAAGCAAAGAGGGTCAAAGAAAGAAGAAGAGGTGGGGAAGAGGAAGAAACAGCTCCTGGAGGCATCCCAATGGGCTTTGGGGGAAGGTGGGTTTCCAATCTCAGAATCTGAGCACATCAGGACTGGCAAGAGCCTCTGAGATCATTTTGGCCAACTTCTCCTTGTCTGGACATGAGCAGGAGACCCAGGCAGGGGAAGGGACTTGTCCAAGGTCATACAGGGGGTGGTGGTGGAGCTGGGCTGGAATTATAGGGTCTCTGGGGTGGGCAAAGTGTTTAATCTCCTGGACACTTGAGTAGCACCATGAAAGGCTTGGCTGGAGATCCCTTTGCTGGACATCCATCTGTGTGCTCTGCTCTGTGTGCACGTCCTGTGTGTGCCTGTGTGCACCTGAGTGTGCGCTTCTGTGTCATCACAGGATCTGGGCACGTGTGTGGCTTCCTACACAATGATCTGTCCTGGCTTGGAAGGGAGAGCTGGAGCCATTCCTGTGAGGTGATTGTTTTGCTGGGACAGTGGAGAGGCTGACAGGGCTTTATCTGGCTTCCAGCACCAGCTCTGCCACCCTAAGAAAATTACAGGCACTGGCTGGTGGTACCCAAACTCCTGGAGCTAGACACACACACACACACACACACACACACACACACTCCCCCAGGCAGCGCTCACAGCCGCAGTTACAGGGTGTTTCAGGCATACAGACTGGCCTAGAGTGCAACGGAGTAATACTGGCATCTCCGTGCCGCCCTGGAGCCCAGCAGGTGTAGACCCGGGTGCGGAAGCCCGTGCGCAGGGCCCGGAGGAGTCGCGCGCTCCCGCCGCTCCTACCCCGCGCCCCGCTCAGGGCCTAGCCCGGCCACACCCCTCCTCCTTCGGCCTCCGCCGGCTGTTCCTGCCCCTCTCGCACACTTCGGGTCCCCTGGGGTTCTCGCGCAGCCCGGCAGGGCCAAGTTAGGTCTGGCCCGGCCGGAGATTTAGGTTTGGAGCTGGCAGTCGACGCCTCCCCCGAGTCCCGTGCCCGCAGGCAGACCCTCCGGGCTAGACTCGAGCTGCCGGGGCGTGGGGCTCGGCGCCCAGCCCCTAGCCGCCGAGGACCCCGACGCAGCCCGCTCCAACTGCCCGGCCCCCGTCCCCGGCCCCCGCCCCCCGCGCGGCGAGTAGTTACCGATGGTGGTGATGACTGTGATGGCGAAGTAGAAGGAGCCGGCGAAGCGCCACTGCACGCCGGCCTTGTGCGGCTTGAGGCGCAGCACGACGCGCTCGAGCTCCTCGTAGCCGCCCTGGCTGAGGTTGTAGCGCGCCCGCAGCTCCTGCTGCCGCAGCTCCAGCCGCTGCCGCTCCAGCATCTCCGGCTCCGACTCCAGCGCGTCGAAGACCGCGGCGCCCACCAGCAGGTAGGTGAAGGTGCACACGATGAGCGCCAACGTGCGCACATTCTGCCGCTTCATCG